AGGGAGAAACGAGGCCTCATATGAGTCAAGCACTGTGACGGCTGCCATCTTTGGAGCCAAAAGTGACTATATTTGGACATGAAGGTTGAAGTTTAAGTCGATTAAAGTTAACTTGCTTGGCTACACTAAATAACCACACGCACACATAACCTAGTGGAATTTTACTCCCCACAGTTAGCACATCTGCCGCACAGCCCGCCATATTATTTGTTACATAATTGCATTAAAATTGCTCCACAAACAAAGCTGAGAGGTTCATGTATTTATGTGTGGGCGGGTGAAGACAATAGACAGTCCACGGTAAAAGACGAATGTAAGCACCGTGATGTCACCCCTTGGTTTTACAACCCACATTTTGAAGCTTCAACCTTGAAAATTTTTATACTGACTTTCAGAGCCAGAAGTCACCACAAGCCGGATGAGAGGGTGGAGAGCTAACGCTAGCCAGCTTGGTTAGCAGCTGCATCAATAAACTGTGTGGGTGAAATGTACAGGCACACATGTTTGCTAATTAGTGCTGCAATAACAGGCTGATAAAATACTAGAACGTTCCTCACCAGAACGGAAGTACAAACTTCTTGGATGGTCTGTACCACAGGGCGAGCTATAATGCTAACCAGGTAATCCAATAGAAATGCTCTAAAGCACACACATGGTGAAGAGATCCAATGCAGTTACTGGAACGAGGCAGACGGACAGACAGTGATTGGCTGTCAAGGTGGCCACGCCCATAACTGTTGGGAACTATCAAAAGCCTTTTTTTTTTTAACTATCCTTTTTAACATAAGAGTTGACTTTTAGAGCCAACCCACATGGTACCACTGTGAGATTATCACATAGACTAAAACTGACATTTTAACTTCATCAGTGTGCATGTCTACTGCTATACTGGCATTCACATCTAATTCAAAACTTTGTTGTGCCTTAATTATGTAGTTCATATCATATGGGAGTTATGTAGCTCCACTTTTCCCTTTTTAATAGAATTATAACTGCAATATGCATGACTCTGCACACTATGACTAAGGCACAAATAATAAAATGTTATGCTTAAGATATTACCCAATTGTCAGATGATGTGGCAAATTTGTAATGTCCCTGGAGCCTGGGGTTGGAGAGAGTGCAGGACTTAGATTCCAACATCAAGGGAGAGGCTCCCGGAGGGTGAGAGTGCTGCCTTGTGTCGGACCTTAAGGTCACCATTCCTTCGGCTAATGCCCCTGGCATCACCTTCCTCCTTGACTTCAAACACCCTGGCTATGCTCCTAGACCATGTACCAATAAGCACTAATAATGCAGAAAAATGAAAACCAAAACAGATGGGCTCCAATAGAAGTGGGGATTACTCAGCCCTATCCAGGGCTCTATCTACACCCCTGGGCGCTGAGATGTGAATCCCGAGCTGTTTTTTTCTCAGCATAAAACAAAGGCAGGAGGTGAATAAAACAGTTGCAGCAATATGTTTACGTGTGCCAGAAATGTTTATGGCAAGGTTCCAATAATTTCTTTTTAGATGTGAGAGGATAGGACTGAATTTTCACTGAACCCTCCTTCGAATTGTGGCTTTTGTATTTTATTTTAAAGTCTTACATACTACAAATATGCTGACCTCCATGAACACTGTTCACATATCTATGGCACGCAGTTTATGGTGCTACAGTACACTAGTTGGTTACAGTGAAACCAAGAAGTACTGTATGTTGGACATGTAACTTGCAAATAATGTGTCATACAGAGGCACCAATGTCTTGCGCCGCTGACTGACACAACAGGGCAACACACTGCTGTGAGGGCATGCTCGGAGGTTTGGCTATGACCTCTCACTCTGGTAAAAAAAAACCACACTATAGCCTTTTATTTGATTATGCACAAGCCCTCAAGGCTCAAAGAATATGTGTCAGACGCTGCTTAAAAGTCTCCCTGAACAATTAACCACACGCCATGGAAAATGCCCAACAAAAACACCCCCAAAACCTCCCCCAACCGTCTCAACTGGGGACTCGCTGTGAACTCCTGCGAACCCTGGGAAATCATGAGAAGAAATCTAGACAGTGCTAAAACCCACAAACGTCTGAGTGTCTTTGGCCTGGCAAAGCAACAATTAATTGGATTTGGTTGGAAAGAAAATGTAACTGTGACGCTCAGAAATGACAACTGGGAATGCCAATTAGAAGAACAGTAAATTTTAAACAATGGGCATTTCAAAATAAAATTTAAAAAAAAATGGTTTGAATGAGCCCCTCCCTGACTGAGTGAGTGCGATGAAGTAAGGGTTGGATGTGTGGCCCTGTTGTTCACTCTTCAGCTACTGTCTCGGGTCACGTTGTGCTTTTATGGGGCAGCTGGTCAGAAACTTGCTTTAAATTACCCCGAATAACAAATCGAGCTCCATGTGTTTTTGATGGGCCGGGAAAGAAAAGCTAACAGTTAAGGAGACTAAATGAACCACAAACGTCCAATTACGTCTCAGGTAGAAAATTTCAGGATTTTGGTTATCTAATGAAAATATTGTCACTAGACTCATTTCCTACGTGGTGCCAGAAAGGTAGAAGAGAAAATGTGTTAACAGTATACTGAGGGTTGACTCTTTAACTCTTGGTGAGTTTGTGTCTCCAGCTCAGGTTTCAGGGTGACTGTTTTTATATCGGGGCCACGCTTACCTCAACCTCTGACGGTCTCTTTTGGCCAATTCACACCCAAGTGCCAGTGAACAAGCAGTGACGTGGATTATGTTTGCTCATTACCGTGACTTTTTTGGCAAACGAAAAGTAAAACTGTAGGGAGATAGTTGATGAAACACATGTATTTGCTTGTGTTTTTGTTTTTAAGTCTAGTCTACTCCACACCCGGAGGAGATTGGATAGAGTAGATATTTATATTATAAAGATTATGACAGTTTATGACAGGAAAGAGTTTTATCATAGGAAATAATAAAAAATGGAAGCTATCCCTTTCCTTTGTTTGAGCTAGATTAGAATTTAAATTCAGTCAAGATAAGCTAACAGGGTAGTGGCGACAGCTACATGTTTACCATCCAGGCATATTGCCTTCTAAATCTTGACAGGAGAGAGTGCCGTGATGAAAGCACATCACCACAATTTAGCTAAATGATTATTTTCAGAAGTTATTCAACAAGACCAATCTAGTTCTAAACCAAAATTCAGGACATTCTGGACAGACATGTTGAATGGTTGATTTTGTTTTTTTTTTCCAAAAAGGAGAATTAGACAGAACACTGGTTCATCCCTTAAGTTAAGTCTCTTTTGAATGTTTCACAGGTCTGAAAATGAGTGAAAAAGCAGCCAATGTTCAAAATATGTCGTAGGATTTATGGTTTTTGAGGTTTACTCTCATCTTTTCCACTACAATGTCAGCAGCAGGACCTTCTGTCCTCCTCCACACCTAAACACCTTTCTGTAAGCTCACCTGGCCTGGCCTGAAAGGAGAGCGCTTGAACCAACTGTACCGTGGCTCCCGTGCAAACACAGTGTGTGCGTAACAGCCTCATTCATGTTTACTGTAAGTGGAAGTCTTTGTCATGTCTGTTTACTCAGTCTTTCACATCTTTCACACTTGAATCCACATATATATTAGAAACCTGACGCTAACATGTTCGTTGTTCTCATTAAACCTGAAAACAGACACACACTAAGTCAAGCAGACAGTGGCAAACAGACGCACACACTGTTCAGCCTGACAGTTTATCATGTTTGCTATGCTTTAGTTTATCTGCCGCATGGCAACTTAAGCTGACCGTGCCTTTTATTCGCAGCTGGGTTTGACGAATTTTAGGGGTGTTTCAAAACCAAAATCTCACCCGTCCAATGAGTACCCAGTCTAAGACTAAGATGATGTCACTGTAGGGCGTTTTCTCCTTGTGGAATGACAAGCGAAGATAAATGGCAGTGTAACAAGTCCAACACCTGGCTGTCAGATTGAAGACAAGATAGCCATCGACAGTAAATGTTATTTATAGGTAGATGGAGAGAAGATAGTGCAGTCATCTTCTGTTATGTTCTAGCTAGTCGCATTTTGCGAAGCATACCGAGACACAATAAGACACAAGATCATGCGTGTGTTGATTAATCTGTTTGGTCACATGACTAAACAGACTGTGGGTGGAAGACTGCCTGGCAGCACTGAGAACTGTCGGTGAAATGAAGGAGCACCCAGATGGTACTTCCAAGCAACCGCCCGACAGCCCTGAGGTTATAGGTGGGGTTTGCGCTGTAGTCGTGCAGCTGTACTGGTATGTCACCTGAACTTTTCTCCGACCTCACCCTCAGCCCACATAGGTGTTTATGCCTTAACGTCCGCATTCTCTTACAGACAAGTCATAAACTGGAATGTTTTCATGCTTACTCAGGTCTGCTACTGATGTTGGACAAATTAGCTAGGTTACAGTTGAGTTGTAAATGTAATCAATGAGTTGTAAAGGACTTACATAAGTTCTAACTAATGCCAGTGTTATAAAATGTTCACAAAAAAACTCTAACACGCTAATGTAAAGTAGTTATCTTTACTGTTTTCACAATTTTAGTACATTATAATGTTTACTAAATACAGAAGCATTTAAATTAAGTATTGGTGCTAAAAGAAAAGTCAAGTGACCACCAGTTTTATTAGGATTGAACTTTTTGGGACCAATAATGTCTATTATTTTTCGAGAACCATTGATAATGCTGCTAAAAATTACAGATGAATTTAATGAATTGTGCATAAAGGCCATTAACTGAAGTAGCTCACACGTGCTGAGAATAGTGTGAATATAGAGTACTGTTCTTACAGAACTGAAAAACTAAGGATATGTAGCACAGAGTTATAAGCTAAGGCTAGCTAGCTTGGTCAGCTAGATGTTTTCCTTGGGATACACAGATACCTGCACATTAGTGAAAGTAACAAACATATGATATACAGATACTGCACTAACTCTCCATACTTGCTCCACTGTGGTATTATTATTATTATTATTAT